TTTCTCTTTCTTTTTCTTTCTACATTATTTGTTGTTTTCTTTGGATAGTGAACACGTATGAGTCACATATCTCAATCTTGTATCATACCCATCTTTTCAAAAGAATTTGTATAATTGTTTATTTTTCCAATTTCTTTTGCATTATGAGTTGCTATCATATGCTTTTCAATACGCGTTTTTTTAATCTTTCTAATTGCATGAATACAATGTTTTATTCTTTATAAAAGTTTAATTACACATTTAGCCTCTTATTTCTTTAAATTAAACCATTTTGATAATACTTCATTCGATTGCTATCATAAAAAAAAAACAATATTGATTGTAAAATGTGATAACTCTTGCAGTTGTATTATGCCATTCATATCCTTCATGGATACATATATGTTAGTATATATTAATTGCCAACTAAAATTGTTTTTTTTATAAAACTAAAAAAAATCAAACTGGGATTAATTTTATATAAGAATTAAAATTACATTACGAGAACTAAATATGAATTTAATTTTTTAAAACATATTATGAATTTATTTCGCTGTGTATTTTCCCATCAAAATATTCCCGATCAACCGATAAAAATAATCTCTTCCGAGTGCAAATGCTATTGAAATAAATTTGACTTATTTTTATAAATTTTTTTGTCTTAAATATATTTCTATTTCTGAAATATTGTCGTGTTTTACTTTGTTTCATAAGATTTTTTTAAAACTTTATACTCTATAAATCTTTTCTTTAATTTTTTATATTTCATTTTACATAATTATAATATATAAATTAATGTTTTAGTTTTTAGCAAGTATTTTTCATTAACAATCTAAAAAAATAAACGAAATATTGTAGATGTTATAAAAGTATATTTTGAAGAACTACACCAAACCAAAGAAATTTTTTTTATAAGAAATCAAAATCATGGAAAAATTTCTTGGAAACCAAATGTAAGGTCCAACTATATTCTATAGACAAAAAATTCCAACTAAGGATTTTAGATTTGTGCAATTATTATGAAGAATATGCCTAATTAGTAGTATGATTTTCGGTACGATCGAATAATGCACGGAATATCGTGTTTTTATTATAATGGACAGAAATAAATAAAAATATATATTTTTAGTAAAATCTAAGCACAACTATTTTCTACTTGGACAATGATATTTTAACAATTTTTTTTAATAATATTTTGATAATAAATCATATATCAATATTTTATTGGTTTATATATTTAAAACGGATTCATCATAATCTATCACATAAATTATTATAAAAAAATTGTAAAAAGAAAAATTGTAAAAACACATTTTTCTTTCTAGTTTGAGTGCCACAGACACGTAAACTTGAATGCTGAACAAAAAAAATAGCAAAATTTCTTCAAGAAACGTGCTAAATAATAAATAGTGTTTGTTTTCATTGTTGCGTTGCAAATAAAACTCGTACAAAATGCAGTTTCATGTGCAAACAAACTTTCCATGCAACAAGGAAATCTCTACAATGAAACGAAAACAAATATTTTAAAAGGAAAAGTTAAAGTTCCAGGTTCATCGTAGTTCGACTCAAAAGCAAATAATAACCAAAAGAGATCATTTAAAAAAGAAAAAGAAAGTTTCATCATTTTCCCACTCTTATTTGCTTGTTTGAACGAACATCATTCATTCCATATCATATAGTGACATGTTCATTATCCATGAATTCAGAACACTGCATCCTGACATCACAATTATGTACAACTTTATATATATATATATATACATATCATATTCCAATAATATTCATACACAGAGTGAAATGCATGCAACCCAATGTGGATAAAGGAGTGCTACTGTCATATCCGAAAAGAAACGAAAAAAACTCAGTGAACAGAAATGTGAAGGAGTTGTGGGCCCTCATTAGTGTATGGTGTTAAATTGTGCTGCAATAAACAAATATATCTATACAAATTATACAGAAAAAAGGAAGAAAAACTCCTCGAATATTCTGATAAAACATGTAGATATTGATTTGATACGAATGGAGAAATATATCTTATTGTATTGTATGATTATATGGTTAAATGGATCCGTTAGTTAGCCATACCACAAATATAATTACTTGTTACTCTTAAGGTGAATGATTGAATCAATTGATAAGACAGGTTATAAAATGATTATCTCTAACACTAATTAATTTAAGATAAAATATAATTATTATTAATTGAATTATAATTAGGATGTTATTGATCCAAAATTTATTAAGAGAGTTTTAACATGAAAGGATTTAGAAATATAAAGTCTATAAATATAATTTTGAAATAAAGAAATAAGTATAATATTTAATACATATTAATAACTTGAATTGTTCTTTAACATCAGAACACTTTCTGTATGCAGTATCAAAATACAACAGATTAATGATAACAAGGATGAAAATTTAAATCACTAACAATTTATATAAATAATAAACCGGTAACTTCCACACGCATCCGAGAGAGTTTTAACATAAAAGGATTTATAAATCTGTCTTAATATACTCTCTTAGTATACTTGTAATACTAAAGAGTGTGAGTAAAGAAAGAAATTTGACAAACTTATATAATTAAATAAATAAGGAATCTGGTGGGTAAGGTGACGCATGCAGTAATGTGTAGAAAAGTCGCCTCAGGAACCAATCAAAGCCATGCAGCGCCACCAGAAACGACAAGATATCAAAGATAAAAGGGGCATCCATTTCATTGCAAACATTTCAAACACCTTGATTTCTCTGTAACCCTTGTTTTCAATTTTCTTCTTTCGATCCTTCTTTCCCTTCTCTTTCGTCTTTGTAACCAGCAAATAAACCATTTTCCATAGTTTCCCATTCGATCTTGGTTTTCACTCTGCTCAATGGAGGGCAGAACGAGCTCTGTGCTCCCACCTGGCTTCAGGTTTCACCCCACTGATGAGGAACTAATCGTGTACTACCTTTCTAACCAAGCCACATCAAAACCATGCCCTGCATCAATAATTCCAGAAGTTGATATCTATAAGTTTGATCCGTGGGAATTACCTGGTACATGTGATAACATATACTAAAATATCAAACCTGTATTTGACCCTATTGTAATATGTGCATGTGCATGTTTCTGTTGTTCTGACATGTCAAATTCTTGTGAAATACAGAGAAAACAGACTTTGGAGAGAATGAATGGTACTTCTTTACCCCAAGGGAGAGGAAGTACCCAAATGGGGTGAGGCCTAACAGAGCAACTGTGTCTGGGTACTGGAAGGCCACTGGTACTGATAAAGCAATCTACAGTGGCTCTAAGCATATTGGGGTCAAGAAAGCTTTGGTCTTTTACAGGGGTAAGCCACCAAAGGGTATCAAGACAGATTGGATCATGCATGAGTACAGATTAATAGGATCAAGAAGACAAACCAATAGACAAATTGGATCCATGAGGGTAAGCCTTTGCCTTATTAATTACTATAAGTTTTTTTCATATGAAATTACATGTATCTTCTATCAGAAAAGATAAGACTATAATAAATATTCAATATTTAAAGAGTTTTAACTGTTTGAAATTACTCTATAGGCTGCTGTTTTATTTTATTTGACCTTACCCTTGTACTTGGATATGTCATCAGCTAGATGACTGGGTCTTGTGTAGGATCTACAAGAAGAAGAACATGGGAAAATCATTGGAGGCAAAAGAGGACTACCCAATAGCCCAAATCAATCTCATACCACCAAATAATGAGACTCAACAAGAAGTGATGAAATTTCCAAGGACTAGTTCCCTTACTCATCTTTTGGATATGGATTACTTGGGTCAAATATCACACATACTATCTGATGCATCATACACTTCAACCTTTGATTTTCAACTTAACACTGCCAATGGTGGAATAGACCCCTTCATAAAGCCACAGCCACTTGAAATTCCCAATAGCCTTTATGCAGCAGATTCAGGGAAGTACCAAGTGAAACAGAACAGCACCATCAACCCCACCATATTTGTAAACCATGTCTATGATCAGAGAGGATAATACCAAAAATGAAAAAAAAAATGAAATTGGATTATTTGGAACATGACGATAAGCGTCATCAATTACATAATCCTGAAGATTCTTTGTAGAAATACATATATATCACATCACCCAATGAATTTTCAGTGATATCCAATCAGATCATAGCACCCACAGAAAATGTAAATATATATATATATATATATATATATATATATATATATATATATATATATATATATATATATATACTCTTTGTATGAAATACCATTAACATTTCTTTCAACACTTTTTATATTATCAAGTGAAACTGCGTTCTAGTCCCATTAGTTACAGTGATCTTTGTTATTTTTTTAGACTTACAACGATAAAATAACTCAATTACTGTTAACTTTTTGTTAACGGAATTACATTCAATATTCTGATTAAGACCAAACCTGAGGCTTAGATCATGCTTAGGTAGCTTTTGAAGGCAAATACGGTTGAGCCACCCGTTTCCAGCGCTGACATACATCATCACAATGATTATTAATTTTGACAAAGGATACATACGATACAATGGGGCGTTGGAAAATTATGTACTGTGAGTCAATAATTGAAACAGAAAAGAGTTTTCAAAATGGATTGTTAATTCAATTCGTGATTGGTGGCACCCCCTGTTGCTTATCCAAATTGATAACGGCGTTGTTGATAGAATTGGATATGACGTGTTGAGAAGGTTGGCATGTGCATGCGCTATATATTTAATATGAGAATAACATGTGGCTCAGGATCACACCTTTTATAAAAGTACAAATTCTTGTGTTAGTTTCGTCAAGAAATTGTTAGTTAATGTAAAGTAGTACAAGTTAAACAAACTATAATCATTTGAATGAGTCGTGTGTTCGTGCTACTACATCTGTATGGTAGTTTGATATATATGTATATTTAATTTGTTGATTGTGAGCATTCTAGGATGTTGGTCTGGCACACGAAATTGATGAGATGAAGCATTTATTTGGACTTGTAAATCCATTAGTACTTCAAGGTTGTGACATAATATTGGTAATAATAAAGTCAATAGGATGAACTATATCAGTTCAATGCATATGTATCAGTACAATGCACACATATATGATCATTTATTCATTTTTAGCTTCCCTTCTTCCTGTGTTTGTGGGAGATTATTTAAGTTGTGCAGATACACCAACCTAATATAGTTTCTGCTTAGTTTCTTGCCATTCATTGATGTTGGCTTCAACTTTTGCTTGCACTTTTGAATGAAATCCTGGATATGGCTCATAACCAAATAAAGTGTGGAGAACCTGCATAAAGCAAGTAGCCTTAGAGACAAAGAAATAAACTGATATTAGGAATTCAAAATATGAAATTTATCAGTACAATACCTCTAGCAATACAAAGAAAGGACCCATTACAAAGGCCTGAATGATGTTATCCAAAAGGGCAGGTGCTCTTTTCTGTAAATAAAACATCTTTGGCATGTTAATATAAGAAATGTTTGAGACAGAGATTGAGTTATTATAACAACAGCTAACCTCAAATATACCGTGACCAATAAAAAGCTGTGTCCAACATACTAGTTGAACCACCAGAACAACCTAGGCATGATCAAAGAGAAAAGAGTGAGAAATGTTATGTTGATAATGTTAGTGTATGCAGTAAAAATGTTTTTACTATTTGCCTGTGACAACAAGGTGTTTAGCATGGTTATATTTAGACAACAAAATTAAGAAGCATAACTACTCTTTTTGGATTAGGACTGAGAGAGATAAGAATACAATTGCAATGAGTGGACATTTTTCTAAATACTCCTTTAAAGGGTTGAGTTCATAATGAAGGAAATAATGCAGTGCTCAGGAAATGGTTGTATCAAGATCTGTGGCCTACGAACTGACATCATGCATGATATAGTTTGTCACTAAAGAAACTTAGGCATAACACAATCTACAACAGCTATATAATATCTGATTACTAATAACTGAAATATCTAGAACTTAGGTGGGTTTTCAACATGTATAAAGGCTTCTTGCTAATTTTCTAGTTGTTGCTCATTCGTTGAAGGATGATCACCTTCCTCGTTGTCAATGAAGTCTGTTGGAATGTGTTGCTCAACTCCACCGTATGACTAGGACAAAGTTGCCTTTTAATTCCATTATTTTCACAAAAGTTTGCAAATTCATGCGAGTAGTACTTTCCACTATAATCTTTACGGAGAGCTTTGATTGAGTTTCCAAAATCTTTTCAACTAGCACTTTGAAGCTTGTTGCAAAAGCTTCAAATTTCTCCATGTTGCATTCGTCATCTTTGTTGAAACATTTTGATGGGCTTTTAAGGGGATTCACCAAGGATATTCGATATTCATGATCCATTACCTAATCATATAAGAGACTATAACGTCGTCTACCTCTAAAACTTAAACTTAAACTTAGATTTCTATCACATTTTGTTTTCTGCCATCTTCACTTAAGTAATAAATCTTGGGTTGGCATTTTGGATTCTACAAACTCTACCTTCTTTGGTTATTTTCATAACCATTTTCTTGCAGCTGACCAATACTCATTAGATTGCTCTTCAAATCTAGAACAAAGCGAACATTAGAGATTATGAGTAAAATATCTATTGGTTTGTATTCTTAATTGTCCTTTTCCCATGAATGAAATTTTAAAATTGTCACCAAACTTCACAATATCATCAAGAGTGGTAAATTTTGGCTTGTCTTCACTGATCATGTGATTGTTGTACTCGATATCTAGATACCACAAATTATTGTTGGTTTCTTCTTTTCCATGACAGACCATTAATTAAGACAACTCTTCTTCATGTTCTTTCTCCTTTGCTGCATAGTTAGTCTTTTTTTGCATGTTTTAGTCATGCTAGTACGACATTCTGGTTTATAGTGCCAAAACGTATAACACATGTAGAATTCTATGTTAGACTTGTCTGGTAATTTCGTATGATGGTCATTACGTTATCTTCATCTTTGTTGGAAGAGGTTCTCTCGTTGTTGAAGACTCTAATCCAATTTCATCCACGTGACAAACAGTGCTCCACTTAGGCTACCATGTATATTGACATGTGACTACCACATGTTTAATTTTATTTTTTTGAATTAAAATTAAAATTTTGTTATAAGCATTGTTGTTTTTACCTTGAAAAGAAAAAAAAAATTTCTTTATTCAAGGTGTCTTTGTTTCTTTTCCACCCATTGTTTCCACATCAACATTTTCATCTTCCTCCACCCTCTTCTGCAACTTCCACCTCTTCTTTTGATTTCTCTTTCTTGCACAAAAGTACCTCCATCTCTAGGTCACGGTGTTGGGTGTCAAGCCTCCAGGCACAGCGCCATCGCACACCCGTCATCTGCTCCGTTCGAAACTCCGACACTACTGTATCCTCTTTGCTCGAAACTCAAATTTATCGGCGCCTTCCTACGTTTCTCTATTCAAGTTTGGTGTTGGATGATGATGAAATTGTGATGGTTGGTGCCGATGTGAGGTTGAGGAAAATGATGGATGAGTTTTTTTTTTGGTATTTTTCTACAGGTAGAAGATGAAGGTGATGATGGAGGATGCTATTTTTGGGGTGTTGGAATTGGAGATCGGGTCTGTATATTTGTCCCTGTTTGCTTCTGTTCTGAGTGATACGAGAGAGGGGAAATGGAAGTCGTGAGTTGCAGTGATGAACGTGTTGGTAAATGGTGTGTTTGTGGTTGAAGCGTGAATGAAACTATTGGAGGTGAAGATGATGGCAAAGATGAATGAGTTTGGTGACTGTTGTGAGGCTGGCCGAATAATGGGTGAAAAATAAAGATGATGGGTAATGGAGGAAGTGTGTAGTGGAGTGAGTGAGACATGGAGATGGAAAATGAATGTTGAGTTGTTGAATGATGGTGGGAGAAAGATCAACGGGGATTCTGGAGGAAGATGATTGATGTCGGAAATTGTTGAATATAGTGAAAAGTTATTTAAATGATTAATGGTATATATAAAACTTGTTAATAATAATCAATAAAGATTTACTAAACATATATGTTTTTACCATTCCACCAGTCAAAATTGTTAATAATACAAAAAATAACATAGAAGATGAAATATAAATTTATAAAACTTTTCTTAAACAAAAAATATGAAAAGTTGTTACATGTAAACATTTTTTTGCAAATTATAGTTAAAGAATGGATTGCTGACATCTAGATAAAGAAATTATTTCTTTGATTTTATTTATATTTGACGACACAACGGTGATTTGGCTGAAGATGAAAATGTTAGTGGTGGAAACAAGACGGGGAAGAACGAATAAACCTTAGATAAAAGAAAAATTGTTTTTTTTTTAAGTTTAAAATGCAGTGCTAGATTTTATAAAAGAAATTAAATTTTAATTAAAATAAAATAAAACACGTGAAAACCATGTGACACTGTACATGACAACTTAAGTAGAGTGTTGTTTGTTATGTGGGTGAAATTTTAATCTCATTCAAAAATACTAAAACCATCACTTTTAAAAGGATGAGAATCAAAATGCTTCAGAGTTTTATATAAAAACCATTTCCAATTTTATTTAATAGTATAACAACTAAAAATATATTTAACTCTTTTAAAAATAATTTCAATTTCGTAGGTCAATTACTAATATTCATTTTAATAATAATTTTATTTTGATTACTTATTTTTTAAAATAATACTCAAATAAAAGTTATTAATAATTATTAACAAAATAATGAGTTTATGTGAGTCCAATACCATAATATTATACTCATCCAATCATATAATTAAATACATATACTCATTTCTTATTGATATTCATTAAAAATATTGATTTAATATTAAAAAATTAAAAAAACCAACAAACCACAATACCATTTTTATATAAGAAAAAATAACCTGGTTAATGAATTCTTATTATAAATGGTATCTAAGAAGTGTAATAGTTGATAGAGGAAAAACAAACATGATCCATAAACATTAGGAAATTAAAAAAAATAAATAACCTGGTTTACCTTCCAAGCCAGAGACCAGCGAAGTTGGGTTGCAAGAAAGCTACTTTCCATCCAAGAAAGGGCAGAAAGCAGAGCAGCGAGAGAACCAGCTTTGAGATCCAAAGCAACATAGAAAAGAGAGTAAAGCAAAGCAACGAGGAAAGCAACGTTCCAAACCAAGATGACATTGTTCCTCCAAAGAGAAAACTCAAAGTTTGGAAGATAGAAAAAGGGAGGGAAGAAGTGAAGGATGAGAAGGGCTGAGAAGAAAATTGGCCACACAAACAACACATGGATTGCTCTGTTAACTGGGTTTCTGTGGTATGCTCCGTAGAACCCAAAATGCTTTTCAAGATCAAACAATCCTCTCCTTCCCAATGCCATCATCTACAACTACAAAGTCACTGCTGCAACATGGCCTTTGTCTCTTTGCTTAGAATGAAAGGTATAGAGAGAAAGTTGTTATTTTCATGGGCGTGATATCAACATTAACAACACTAGTAGTAGGCATAGGTAGCTAGAGGTACGAATAAATTATGAATGAATAGGTTCAATTTTTCAATCTGTTTGGTTCCATTTTTTATTTTAATTAAAAATAAAAAAATTTATAATTTAAATGATTAACCGGTTCAATTATTTTAATTAATTTAATATATGAAAATAATATTTATTTTAATTTATTTCATTAGAAATATTAATTAATTTATTAAAATTTTAAAAAAAAATTATATGATTAAATATGTTTTTAATATATATATATATATAATAAATTTTTAAAATATAAAATAAAAACCACAATTTAAAAAAAAATGTTAACATCACTCCATCTTGTAAGAGGATTGATTTTCGACCCGCTTTGATGTGACAAATCAATGTACTCTACTTCATTTTTGGCAAGCGGGGCATACCAAAAGAGTCTAAAGTAACTCGTTTTATTACCTCTGATTAAGGGTGGGAAGAGGATGAATACCTCTAAATGTATTTGAAGTTTAATTTAGTTTGATATTTATTTAAGAGTAATGGTACTATTCATTTCACATAAAATACAAGATATAACGTAAATTTTTGTATTTTTTTTTAGGAAAGAAGAAAATAAAAAGTAAAAAAGTAACGTCAAATTAACCTAAAAAATTTAGGTATATCAAAATATTATTTTTCTTTATTTAATAAAAGAAGTTAGATTTCACTTTTTTTTTAATATTTAAATATAATAAAAGTAAAATCTAATATATATATATATATATATATAATATTTATATTTATCATTTTTATATATGTATTATTATATACAAGTTAAAAAATTAAATTAAATTGTTAAATACTATTTTAATATTTAAATTTAACATATGTTTTGTAAATTTTATCTTAACATACATATTTTCAAAATCAAATTTTATCTTAAAAGATATAATTTTGATTACAAATAATTTAAATGCTATATATTTTAATTTTTTAGAATTTTTAAAAATTGAAACTCGAGAGAGGGAATTAAAAAGAGTGATTACGTTGAAGAAGTTTAAGTTTCTACATTAACAATAATGAGAGGCAAGTTAAATATTAAAAATTTACACTGACCACTTTTCATACTTCTCGTGAATAATAAAAAGGTATACTTTGATAAATAAAGTGATGAGATTAAATACTACACAAACACGTAAAAAACTAAAATCTATTTTAATTTTAAATAAAACCAAGAAACTCACAAAACTTGAATTAAGATAACATTGATTTATAAGATAAGCGAAATTAAGAAAAATGAAACATGTACATGTTCCAAATCTCAGGAAGATAAATATTCCACATGGGCATCATGTACATCAAATCATCAAGCTCTTAGAGCGGTCAGCACGGTCAGAAGGGTCAGCCTACCCCCTGCCCGAAGCCTCAGATTCCAAAATTTCCCTTCCCACCACTCAAACCTCACTCCCTCAAACACCACCTACGTCCCCAAATCACGTTATCCAAACACAAACCATGTCCAGCTTCACTCACGCCACCACACTCCTCCACGCCCACCTCAAAACCCACCACAAAAAGCCCTCCTCCACCGCCACCACCACCACCGCCGCCACCTCCACCCCTCTCCCCCACACAGGCCCCAACAGAAGGAACCTCATCTCCACATTCCTCGCCACTTCCACAGCTGTGGTAGCAGTGCATGGCAGCACCCAACAAGCCCTGGCCCAGAACTGGGGCACCCGCTCCTTCATCTGGGAGCACTTCTTCGGGCCCGGGCTTTCCCCGGAAGACGCGGTGGCCCGCATAAAACAAACCGCCGAAGGGCTCCACGACATGAGGGAGCCTCTGGAGACTCTGTCTTGGAGGTATATCATGTTCTACATACGCATCAAACAGGCCTACCTTGACCAGGATTTGAGAACTGCTTTCTCTACCTTACCTCAGAATCGTCGCAAGGACTATGTCAGAACTGCCAATGAGTTGATCTCCAACTTTGAAGAGGTACACTCTTATTACTACTGTCTCTGTCACTGCTAATCAGTTAAAGGACTATGTCACTTTTAATGTTTTTGGTTTTCATTTTGTTCAGTTTGATCGGTATATTAGAACGCCAAAGGTGTATGAATCGTACCTATACTACGAGAAGACATTGAAGTCAATAGATGAACTTGTGGCCATACTAACATAGCACAAGGAGGAAGCTGCAGGGTATATCAGTATTCGGAATTCTTATTTTTGTGGTATAAAACCTCTTGTTACTCTTTTTTTTCTTCTTTTTTAATATATATATATTTTATGTACATGTTTCATTAGAATGTGCAACTTGCAAGTATTTCAAATTTAACACAAAGGCTCAATGTAATCATGCTCTGCTGTTACTCATCGATTACACCCAGAAACCACAATTCAACAACATTTTCACACTTGGATTACAAACCACAAATGCACACTAGAAAAATGTTCATGAAGACAGTTTTTGTTTTCTTTCCTTCAAACTAAGTTACATGAAGAAAAGGGCATAGAACATCAGTTTCGAGAGATTGCAACAACTGATAGGATGATTAGTATTGTGAAGAGAGCAACAGCAATGTAAGAGCCAATGAGAGAACCCGAAATGCGTTCGCAGAAGTTGTTGTATTGTTGGCAGATTGCAAACCAATTGGCACCTGTGTTTCCATTGTGTGCTATGTACACTATCGATGTTGCTGCAGAGGCTGCGGCTGTGATCAGACCCAACATTACCTTTTTACAACATTAACCACAACTTCATCAACAATCTTTAAAATAACAACTATGGAATTAACATCATTAAAACTAAGTAGCATGAATTATTGACCACTGTGTGGTTAAACCTCTGCTTTGTTTCAGACATTATTTCTCACTAAATGGAAAATGATGACACTAGTTTGGAAAATGATGACAGCATCAAGAGTCTTTATTTTAAGGTTCTAATTCTATGATATGTTTTTATTGAGTTTAACTTTTACACGAGAAAAATATAACTTATTTATGCTTGCACATTACAAAACAAATTTATAGTATATTTAATACAATTTATAAGCTTTTTACCATAATAATTTTAAAATCCATATTAATAATTATTTATTGATGGTGTAAAATTTATATGCATAGTAACAAAATTCAGGATATGTGTATAATATAAAAACTTTATACCATTAATCAATTAAAATTCAACATAAGTGTGACTTTTTTTAAGGTTTTTATTATAGATTAAAAAATGTTACATGGGAATTCGTGTTTGAATAATATTGTAAAAACTCTTCACCCGGTTGACAATATATCTAAACTATTTTCTAGTTTAATATGCCTTCTTTTTTAATCTAGTTTGGAAAGAAAATAAAATAAAATAAATTATTAGGTTTCAAACATATATTTAAGTATTTTCAAATATGATTTTATTAAATATTTTTATCGATTTAATACTCAAAAAGCTTATATTTTTTAATTGATTTCTTTTTTTTTCGTTAACTAAAAAACGTAGCTGTAATCTTGTTTTGTTACTTTATTTTTTTCTTCACATCTATAACACGGAGACAAAAAGAAAAGATCATAAAGTAAATAATGATACTTGAAAAAAAAAGTTAAAAATAAAAACTCAATTGTTAAATATAATTTTTTAAAATATTTTATATAAAAAAATTAATAAAAACTTAATAAAAAAATTTCACAAACTTTGGACGATGATAATGAAAAGATTTCACTTGAAAAGAAGAAGTGAGTATTAAATATGAAAATCATCCATAAAAATTTGGCTTGGTATTATAATTAAGGAGAATCTGTTTGTTTACCGTGTCAAAAGCAACAAGGAGAATCCTACTTTTCACTGCAGTGCTCCTCACTATGTGGAAGATAGATAGAACAAGTGAAAGCACAAGATAGCCACAAACAACAGAGTTGCCCATCACAAAAAACCTGGATTTCCATGTTCACACACATCCAACGTAAACTCAAACACATAATTTCAGATACACAAAAATCACTTCTCAAGGTGAAGATATAAAAAACTGATTTTAAGTTAAAAGCACTTAAACATGGTTAATATGTTATGAAAAAATAATCATTTAACACACCTAAATTTTTTACATTGATTTGACACTATCATTTCTTATAATTTACTTTTTTCTTTCTTGAAAAAGTACAAAAATTTATACTTTTATGATTATTTTATCCTTACACTCTGTGTCAAATGAACGTAAAAGTGTGTCATAGTATCATTTCTCCATGTGTTATACTAGTTTCTTCAACTTGATATTAAAATCACTTGTAACTGAGAGTAAGAGTTGTATGACATACATTAACATTCATTTGACACATTTAACCAGAGTAAAATAGCCTTTAAAAAATAAACTTTTGTAATTTAAAAGAAAAATTAAAAATAAGGAAAAATAATATCAAATGTGTGAAAGTATATTTTTGTGTAACTAAACACACACTTACACAAGTGAGGGAAGGTCATCAAATTGAGCTCTGAATTTGATGAATTGAGTGGCAAATGGAAGGGTCTCATTGGTAGTTGCCATGGCCAATGCAGCACCTAGGGTTGCAACAGCTGCAATAATTCTCAAAACAAAGTCCATTATAGATAACCCTCTTGTCACTCCTTTTCTTGGGGATGCACCCTTCATGGCTTCTCCAACTTCAATTGAACTTCCCTTCATTTCTCTTCCAATTTAATGTTTTCTCTCTTAGCACACACACTTCTTATTTAACTATAGGTATCCAAAACATGCATTTATATAGGTGTTGAACAGCCATGTCGAATTTGTGTTAGGTTTGGGAAGTACCAGGTGGCTATTGTCGAATGAAATTATGCACTAATTCACCTGCTCCGTACTTGTTCCAAATTATCGTAAAAGCTAAAGATGAACTGCTCCATTTACTAGCATAAAGCACTCATCGACTTCAACGGTACGACATTTGATTGGTTATTGTTGATTGATGACATGTGGTTAGTGACATTTAGTTTGCTATCTTTGGGTATA